AGTGATTTTTGGTCCAAATAACCATAAATATGATCCTTATGACCTATTGGGGCTACATTAGGTTAAATATGGCCCAAAAATGGTTCATATAATTGATTTATTTCATTCTAGACCCAATATGGCCCAAAACATTGAAATAATTGGAAGTGGGTTCAATTAGAGCCCATTTAAGAGTTCTAAGCCCAAGATGGTCAAATTGGAAGCTTACTAGTCCATTGGGCCCAATAAGGAAGTCCTAGACCAAAATGGACCTAAACAAGAACTTCTAGGGTTTCCAATTGCTTGTTGACTATTTGTAATGCTTGTATGGTGTATTTTATTGCAATTTTGTTGTTATAGAGTAAGTATCATGCATGCTTTCATGTCTTGGATTCATAATTCTCACTTGAGTGTTGTGATTACAAGGCACAAAATTTCTAGTTGTGACATCTTGGTAGAAGGCTACTTTCAAAATAGTCGGGTCTTGGTAGAAGGCTACTTTCAAAACAGTCGGGTCTTGGTAGAAGGCTACTTTCAAAACAGTTAAGTCTTGGTAGAAGACTACTTTTTTATACTAGTAGAAATCATAGGGATTTTCTAGGGTTTTCAAACGTTATTCGACTACTTACAAACATTTTCATACTTATACAAACCTTTATCTAAATGTTTACAAGTCTTTACTTCACAGTTTTAAAAATCAAAGACATATTAATACTTATGAATTCACCAGCTTTTTGGCTGATACTCGCTTTCAAAATAATGTGTATTCTCAGGTCACAAATAGACAGGTACGACGACCAAGTTTTGTGAAGAAGGAGTAGTCAAGACTCTTCTTTTATTTTGATTATTCATTTTGTTGTCTTATACTATGAAAGAACATACTTGTAATTAAAATTATACTATTAATGCAATGGATGATGTTGTTGCTTGTTTACTACTTTACATTGTTGTGATACATTACATGACGTCCTCCGCCCCAAAACGTTTCTGTCGTTCTTGGTTTTGGGGTGTGACATATAATGATACATATATGTATAAAATTAGTATTTAAACAACTAATTATGCTAGGAAAGACACCCTAGGTCATAGAAAACACTTATATTCAAGTGCCAGAAGTACTAAAGGTTGCATATAATGGGTGTATGGCCACACATTAGTGTTTACAACCAAGAGGTTGTGTTTCATGTGTGTGTACGGCATGAGTGTACAACCCAAGTGAGTGTAAGGTCGTACAATCATGGTGAACATGCCATTTAGTAATTTAAAGTCTTCTTAAGCACCAGGTAGTGTGTCTTGACCAATACTTAACCTCATTGAAAGTTAAATGCCATTTTGGACCCTAAAAAGGGTGTGTACGGCCATACAAGGAGTGTACGGCCGTACACCCTTGATAATCATGTAAATATGGCCAAAAGTGTATTCTAAGGTTCTATCTTTCATTCTTTAAGTGTTCCTGATCAAGTGCTAGCCTGGAACATGAGTTTAAGGCCATTAAGCACCAAATAAAGGGGTGTACGGCCACATGGGGTGTGTACGGCCATACACTCCTTATTGATCATATTTTGGACGTTTTCTTAGGAGTAAATTCAGTAAGTAACAAGCATTAGGAGTGGTACTTACAATAGAGAAGCCTTTAAGGGTGTTTGAGGTCCAAAAACTTAGTAGATGTGCTTGGTGTTCTTGGTGAACACCTGAAGATCTAAACAAAATGAGTAATTTCATGGATGAAATGGTATATCCTTAATAGATAGTTTAATGAATCATCAAATTGAAGGAAGAAACATTTACAACTTGAAGATCTGGAAGCAAAAACGGATGATACTTGAGAGATAAGTTGGTTTTTCGGCTTTAAGCGTGTGAAAAGAGGTGAAAGGAGGCTAACATTCTCATTTATACATGAGAGTGAATGGCCAAAAGGGGGTGTACGGCCGTACACTCCATGTGTACGGTCGTACACTCCTTAAGTTGGAGTGTTTGGCCAATTTTTGAAGTGTTGAACTTGTAGAACTCCTTTTTAAACCCTAACTTTGAAGATACAAGGCTTAGAACACTCTAATTGACTCTAAACAATGCGAGAAGATAGCAAAAACGAGTCTGAACTTGATTGATTTGGATGGTTTGTACAAGAAAGAAATTTTGAGTTGTCACACATGTAGTTCCTTCAAACTTTCATTTCTCGCCAACTTCAACCTTGCTGGTGACCCTTCCCTTAATCATATCTTCAACAGACTTCGCAACCCAGATAGCTACCTCCAAAGTAAGTGGCTGACGCACTGGCACCGCATACTCCCATGGAAGTCCCTTTGCGTACCTGTCGATTTTTGTCAGCTCGTCTGAGACTATACGCAAAGCAAACTCCATTTTGTCTGTGAAGTTGTTGGTGTATTCATCGATGGACACACTTCCCTTTTTCAATGTCAGAAATTGGTTCTCTAGCTCAAGCAAAATTTGGGCCAAGCAGTACTTGCACTTGGAATGCAACAAGAACTCTACTCAAGTCAGTTGTAGTGACTCATTAGGGCTTAGGGTCTTCCCCAGAGTGTTCCACCAGCGAACAACGCCACCTCTGAACTGACGTACTTCAAATGTGGTTTATAGCTTGTCCTTGCAACCACATATCAGGAAGGTTAATTCTATTTCTGAGATCCAATCCATTACTCCGACAGGATCTTCCTTTCTAGTGAAAGTCGACCGCTTGTAAGTCATAAAGTCTTTGTACTTGTATCTATTTCTCTCAACTCCATTCTCTTGGTTATTCCTCTTAACCACAGGTGGTTCAGCTTGACCAACAAAACATAAAAAAGATATATGACTTCCTTTTCAACAATTTGATATTTTTTTTACCTTTTGTTTTCTATTTTCTTATAATCTTACTTATTTATAGCTTTTCTAATGTTTATTTATTTATTTAGATCAAGTAAATAAACTTAAATTCGATAAACCGTGTCGGAACCATTTTTTATTTAATTTTCCTTATTTATGAATTGAATTGATAATGATTTGTTCATTTTATTTATTTTATGTCGTTGCAGTTAATATTTTTTTTACTTAGATGCTCCACCAAATAATCAAAGTTGTTTTTTTATTTATTTAAAACAATAATTAGGTTAAAGTTTATATTGAATAATGTGTTTTAAATTTCTTTCATAGTCTTTATAGTTCGTAATTTTAAGTTTGCAGTTATCATTATCATTATTCGACCTTTTTTTTTATTTCGTACTAAATTCATTCCCGTTTTTTTGGTTATCGCTCCAAATTGGTCTGAATCTGAATTTGACCTATTGAAAAATATAATTAAAGTGATCATAAAGTCTAATTCTTATTATATGTTTATTCTAATCATCTGATTCTTATTATATCTTTATTCTTTATTTTAGTTTATTATTAAATTGAAAAATATTATCTGAAATTTTGAACTACTAATATTACATATAGAAATAGGATTTAATTTACAAATTACATTTTAAACTTTTTAGCTCATGTTCCTATTTTAATAATTATAACTCGCAAATATCACAAATTGAAACATTAATTCTCAATAAACAAAGTGTTTGATATTTTAATTTTAATTGATTGTAACATAAATATAATAGCCACTAAATAGCAAAAAAATATAAAGAAAAAAAGTTGGACGGTAATTACAAATATAAATACAACATATTTATTTACTTGAATAAAAAAATAGAAAAAACATAAACTACCAAAATTATAAAAAATATACAAAACCAAAAAAAATAAAAAAATAAAAAAACTTAAACACCAAAATTATAATATACTCTAATATATTCCTACATTTTGTTATTTTTGAAAAAGATGAAAACCGAGGCCTAGGGCTTTGTACCAACAACAAGGACGTGTTGCACCGTTACTTGGTCGCATGGTGCCCCCCGTGGCAAGCCCACATCATGCCTCATCCAAAAATTCCAAACCGACAATCCGAAAATCGTTGTTACAAACTGGTGATTAAAACAATGGATATAATGTGCAAATTCTACTTCTTTTACAAGTAAGGTCTTAAACCAATTAAATGTACATAATGTTACTAATTATATCATAACATTGTCCCCATATCCTATGTGGACTCAATCCACATTGACAAAAATGAATAAATAATCTTTAAGTGACAAATCATTTGGGTTTTTATTTATTTTCATATTTTTCTTATTTTACATGTTATAATTTGTTACAGTGTAGAAATTAAACTTGTATATGGTAATTAAATTTTTATTCATAAATCTAAGGGTGTCCATCCTTGAAATTTAAAATGTGTGTTAGTTTTTTTTACATATTCTTCAAAAAAGGGGTGTCCATGACACCCTTTCCATAATTCAACATGTGTTTTCATGTTTAATTCATTTCAACATCTACTTTCAGGTATATGTTCGAATGTTTAATTCATTTCAACATCTGCTTTCAGGTATATGTTCGAATGATAAGGAAAAAAAAGCATAGGATAATACCATGTCATTATGGAAGCCTATAAAGATTGCTTAATTACTAAGTAATTCTCTTAAGGATACTCAACTTAGTCCATATTTAATGTTTTCTTTATATGTATGTTGTACTTTATGAGGTTCCTTTATGTATAAGAAATTAAATAGTCTCCTACTTTTTGTTCTTACTATCCTCCTATCTATTTTAGATGGTGACAAGTTTAAATTTAATTTAAATTTGATTGAGATTTTAAATTTGTACATTTATCATCATTTTAAATAGATAGGAAGAAAAGTAGAAATAAAAGGTAGGAGGATATTTAATTTCTCTTTATGTATATTCCCTAAACATTATGAAAAGTACACTGCATGAACCTAGATGAAAACAACTAACACATAAGCTTAAATGAAAACACTAGAATGTTACATTACCTCTCATTTCACGTCTATTTGGTGTTTTGTTCCAAGTTAATGTAAAGCTAAATGAAACTACTTGTGAGATAGTGATTGGTTTGATATGGGAATGCTAATAAGATAAATATAGGGTGATGACCTATTCTTGGTATTTGGCTCCATAAAAGTAGAAGGGTTTTAGTAGCATTACAACTAAATCGTAAGTAGGTCACTTGTAATATGAAATTTCTGATTTGTCCACTTCATGCCTTCAACGTGTTAACTTGCTTCTTTTAGCCCCCTTCATCCTTATATGCCCTCTTAAACAAACTTTTACTCAAATCGACTAAACAAGAAGCAAACTAGGAAAACGCTTTTACCATTCGAGGGGTTTTAACAATGGTTTAAGCAAACCCGCTTAAATTTGAACATTCGAATTGAAAATCCAGTTAATTTCACAGAAAGATTGAGAATTCTAAACGACATAGAAGCAGAATGGATCGGATCGAGACAGTGAAAGAGTTGCCTTTCCGGGTTGGATTCACGGGTCACAGCGGCCATATTCGAATCGAGCCGCTACCTCCTGTTAAAAAATCCAGCTCCATTGACTCGCTACCGGAGTTTATAATCGTTAGTTTTTTATCTCACTTATCCTATGTTACTTTTAATTTAGTTTTGTTTGTGGCTTTATTGATTTTCATGAATGAGACTGAACTGTCCTTTGTAGAATCTCGTATTGTTTCATTGTATGTTATACAAAAACTCTTGGTTGGTTATTGAACAAACAAATTTACACAAAATTGGATCATAATTGTGGAAAAAGAGAGAAGCAATTCACCAAAAAAAAAGATCTTTCATGGAATGGAGTTAATCAGTATCGGTTCTGATTTCAAGTCTCTAATCTGGTTCGAGAAAAACCTAATGGTTTTTAATTAGGGATGTGGTTAACTAGCACCAGTGGAGGCAAAAAATCTATGGACAGGGTTTGAAACTCTTTAGTTTATGATATTGAACATACATGAGTAAAACAAATCCAACAAATTGCGACTCATAGAGAGTGCTACCTATTTTGAATTTAACCTAAGATTCATTTATGATAAAGTATTCCTGTATAACACCTATGTGTATATTTCCAGCCTCCTGCATTTGCTAGGGAAACACCAGAATCGATCAAAAAGTTTGTTGAGGATAAATATCTTCTGCCAAGATTGGATCCTGATGAATTTTCTGCAGAAAAAGCTGGAAGGCAGTGGGAGTTTGACTGGTTTGACCAAGCAAAAATTCACTTAGAGCCAACAATGCCTCGTTCTGTTGTAGTACCTGCATGGGAATTGCCATTCAGACGCCCCAAGCCTGCATCAGAGAAATGGGAACCTGCATCCGTGCAGGTAATTTATGCTCATGTCTATGAGGGCAAATTTGTAAAAAGTTAGGATTTTATGTGGAAAGCATCTTTTGCTTCCATGCCTTTTTCTATTAAGTTGTTCTTTGTGCATTAAGTAAAAAGCAATCACCAGGTCTTATTCGTATTAAGTCCATTAACTCAAAGACTTGGTGATTGCTTTTTAATGAGTTGAGTTGACTGATTTATGTTGAGTTTTAGGTTGATGTGTCTGAACTGATGGTGGAAGCAGAGAGTTCTATTGGAGTGCGTATTAGTGGACCTCCAAAGGATTTTGTGAAGGGAAGCATTAACAACCGTCCTTTTCGTCCAGGTGGATTGGATGATTCCCAATCATTGGGAAGGAACTTTCCGGAAGGTTCTTGTAATGGTGAATGGGTAAGGGAAGTCTTGGATGGTGCTCCTGCACAACTCATTCCTCCTAGTTGTAAAGAAGGAATGGATCTTGGACACCTCAAGGTTTGTTGCCTAAGATACCATATGCTTTGTTTCATATAAATTCTCTTTGGACTATCAATGGGACAAAAGACTCACTCTTTTTTTATCTCTCGTTCTCTCCTATCATATGTGCAAAAGACGAAAATGCCCTTCTCATCAAGTTTTAGTGCGTTTGTCATGCATTGGATTGGGATTGGGATGGGTGTCGGTTGGACAAAAGATTGCAATTTTTTGTGTCACCCAATAAGGTTGGACAAGAACTTGCTCTTGATCTTTCAACTGTTGAAAAGACGTAAATGCCCTTCTGATCCCCATTATCGAAAACATTGTCTAGTCCCATCCCGTTCGGCTCTTCTATCCGGTATAACAAATGTAACACTTTTAAATTTTTTTTGTTTTTTTTGCTGGTTAACTTTTGAAGGGACATCCATGTTCTTGGATTATTCATGAAGATAAGAGTGTGCCCAAGACAACATCTGAGGTAAAGGCCCCACAATTAAATATCAAGTGTAATGATTTACCTTTTTAATTAAACATGCTTTTTTGTAGATTAAAAACAACAAAGTACTGCAATGACATCATATTTGTAAACTTGAAACAAATAACGTCTTTTACAATTCTATAAAGGGTTAAATGCAAGAAATAGCAACGTGCTTTCATATATTTGTTTGTTGTAGCATCTTACTTTCATTCTAACCTATGATAATACACTGTGCTTTGAAAAATCTTCCCAATTATAACAATGTCATTTGAATGCAAAGCAGTTTTCAATGCTATAATTGGATATATTTTCAAAGTACAATGTCTTGATAAGAAAAAGAATTGGAAATACAATGCTGTAATTGAAAAACATGAAAGTAGTATGCTATAATAAACAAATAAATGAAAGTGCTTTGCTTTTTCTTGCATTTTATGTGAGAAATACAAGGTTCAATTCTCAAAATCAAAATCAGACCCCATCTTTTTCATTCTTTCTAGTTAATATGTTGCTGTCTCTGCAGAGTACTTTATCTGTTCAGTTTGATGACTTATTTAAAAGAGCTTGGGAAGAGGATGTTATGGAAGTTCCCATTGATGGTATGTGTGATTCCACTCCTTTCTTCCAATTATTCTTCCCTTCTTTTCGGGATTCAGACCACTATTAAACTGAATGGAATCCAATTCCAGTGGTTTGAGTTTGACAATGGGAATGAGGGAATGATTGTTGGATTAATCCAGTATCTTTTTATTTCTTTGTATTATGACTATGAGTATCTTTTTGTGGGAGGTTGATAACATATCTCATCATGTAGGGGATACACCTGAATCGGAAATCAATGTGATTGAAACGGGGTCTCCAAAATCTATTCCATTAGAAGCTGAAAATAAACTGGATTCACTTGACACTGAATCATCTGTTATCGATCAAATTTTGTCAACGGGATCCGAAGGCTTGACCAAAGGATTTGATGATTCCGATTCCGGAGATGGTGGTCGACAGAAGGAGCCAAAAGTATCTTTTGATTAGGATTGAAATGCTTCAAACTTTTTTTCATGATTTTCTCTTTTGCTTAGTGGGTGTGTTTGTTTTGCAGGTTTGGGCAGTTACAGGGGGTAGTGATGGGATTGCGGATAATTTTAATGAACTTGTTCCTGATATGGCATTGGATTTCCCTTTTGAACTGGATGCATTCCAAAAGGAGGTAATATTATTTTGATATAAAACTATATAGGGTTAAATGCAAGAAATAGCGACATACTTTCATCAGTATTATAGCATTCTACTTCTGTTTTTCTTATTAGGACATTGTATTTTGAAGAAGCTACTACCCAATTTAAGTCGTTTTATTAAAAAAAATTAATTATTACAGTTGATTATACAGTTTTTAAAATCATATATAACACATTAATTATTTACAGAATTCGAAAAGAAAATGGACAATTTGTGTCAACATGACCCAATCCGCTTTGTCACAAACTCAAAAGCAACCATTTTTCTTGTTACACAACCCACCCATTTTGCATTCTCTAATTAGATGCATAGAAAGAGCATCTCAAGATGATAGAAATTCCTAAAATTGCATATTATATGTATGTTTTTTGGCATTTTAAACTCATAAATCTTTTTGCTTTATGATTGCAGGCTATATATTATCTTGAGAAGGGGGAATCAGTTTTTGTAGCAGCTCATACTTCGGCTGGAAAGACTGTTGTTGCAGAGTACGCCTTTGCACTCGCATCAAAAGTATGTTGTCTCACTCTTGATCTCTTGTCTATTCAAAAGACTTAAATGCCCTCCTCATCATAAATATCCCTAGAAAGCTTGTATAGTCCCGTGTGGACGCCACATCATCATGGTAACCTGTCAAAATTGGATCATTGACCTGATTGTAACAACATTAAAATTTTTAGTGATCTAGGATGTAGAATTAGAAGCTGAATGCAAAATTGGAATAGTTGGTTTCCATTTATGACATTAACCCTTTTTTTATTTCCAAAATTTTATGCAGCATTGTACAAGAGCAGTATATACTGCTCCCATTAAAACAATCAGCAACCAAAAGTACAGGGACTTTTCTGGAAAGTTTGATGTGGGTCTTCTCACAGGGGATGTTAGCTTGAGGCCTGAGGCCTCTTGCCTCATCATGACAACTGAGATTTTAAGGTCAATGCTTTATAGGGGTGCTGATATTATACGCGACATTGAATGGGTAAACCTGCTCATATTTTGTTTCTTTTTTACCTTTTGGGTTAAAATGTTAAAAAACAGCATCACATTTTTGTTATTTTGGTTACATTTCTTCTTATTGCAGTATTGTATTTGTACTTTGAAAAATCTATCAGGTTATAGCAATGTCATCCAATCCAAATACAAAGCAATTTTCACTGCTATAGTTGGGTAGATACTTATATTCAAAGTACAATGTCCTAACAAGAAAAGAATTGAAGAATACTACAATTTAGCCCTTTCACTTTTGAATAATGGATCTGGGAATTAATTTTTTTATTGGTTGGACTTGTATTCCTAATGAGTAGGTTATATTTGATGAAGTGCATTATGTAAATGATGTTGAAAGAGGAGTTGTGTGGGAAGAGGTTATCATCATGCTTCCAAGGCATATCAATTTTGTTCTTCTTTCTGCCACGGTAATTATACTTGCAGCATATATTGTAAGATTTTCAACACAAAACATTGAGTATTTGATATGTCATTTTTTTTTTATCGATTTTATTTTAACAAGAAAAATAGAACTAGAAAAGTGTTGAACATTTTGAGCTAGGACCATAGTATGGGTTAAATACATATTCATGCAAGAATGTTTCACCTTTTCCTAATTTATGCAACAAATCGGTTTTCTATATGACACATATGACGTTTCACTCTAGGAGTAAAGTACCCAGTTTTTTTACTATTTCTTGTTTAACCCGTTGAAACATGGTTGCATAGTTCATGTCAGTTGCATAAATTGATTAAAAAAAAAGGTGAAACACTGTTGCATATTTACACATTTAACCTTATAGTGTATTTGCAGGTACCTAATACAATAGAGTTTGCTGATTGGATTGGCAGAACAAAACAAAAACAAATCCGTGTAACAGGGTAAGTTTTCCTCCAATTGCATCATATATTGCACAGTTGTTATGAAGCTTTATGCCCTTCTTCCTATTTTCACCCTTACTGCTTTTATTTATTGGAATATAGTGAGAAATAGCAACATACTTTTATTTACTTCTTCAAGTTTGACCCATTATATCAAAGCACTTATAACATTTTTAGTGATAATAGCAATGTACCTAGTCTTTTTTTTTTTTTTTAACCAATAACAGCAACATATTTATATATTACTATTAATGGTAAATAATGTAACTATGTTGCTATCATTTGTAATGAAAATTGCATTGCTATATTGGTGAAAAGAGTAAAATACATTGCTATTTGCTCTGCAGTTTTCCTTTTATTTATCTTTTCTCTTATAAGTTGATAGGAAGTATACTTGTCAAAATTATTTTTGGGATCATTACTCCAACTATCATCAGTGGTAGATATGGAAAGATAGGAGAAGCTTATCTCTTTGAATATTGTAACATTAGTAAGGTTTTTCAGTCTGTATACAAACAGGTTTGTTTGGTTTATTTAACATTTTTACAGCCTCTTAAAACCACTTAATTCAGAAAGTCAGATCATTATTTTAGTTGTATATCTATCTTATCTTATCTTAGCAAATTAATATATAAATGAGGGAGAATCTATAAACAACAATTAATTGTAGACTGTAATGTAATATTTTGTTACAGGACTACAAAGAGGCCAGTCCCACTAGAGCACTGTCTATTTTATTCGGGAGAACTTTACAAAATCTGTGAACATGAGGAGTTTATACCACAGGGACTAAAATCCGCAAAAGATGCCCATAGGAGAAAAACCATGGCGACAGCTGGCAGTGGTTCAGGGGCATATCCGTCACTTCCCACCACTCATGAAAATTCCCGCTCTCAAAAACCAAACAGTTTTGCAAGGGGCAAACCGATTAAACAAACCGGGCCCCAGAATTTGGGAAACTTTGGTGGTGGTGGTGGGCGGGGCAACCAAGGATATGGTGGTGGCAATAACAATTGGGGGAATAGAGTATCAGAAAAATCTTTGTGGTTATCGCTTATTAACAAGCTAGGAAAAACCTCCCTTTTACCAGTAAGTAAAACCTGTTCACATTTATATTGTGAACTACTATAACAACTTACTTTACTACTTTACTAACTTTTACCCATAATAGCAACGTATTTAGCATTTACATTTTGCTACCAATAAGGGCAATGTAATTTATATGCTATTATTGGTAAAATATGTGGCTATTATGGGTAAAGAAATGTAAGTTGATTGCTATAATGGGTAAAAGATAAAGCGTGTTGTCTTATGGAAATCTATGTTTCAGTTTTTTATTTTACAAGATGTTGATGTGTTATGAGTTATGATAATTGTAGGTGGTGATATTTTGTTTCTCAAAGAATCGGTGTGACAAATCAGCTGATAATCTGCGTGAAACAGACCTCACAAGTCGTTCTGAGAAAAGTGAAATCCGTGTTTTTTGTGATAAAGCATTTTCTCGATTAAAGGGATCTGATAGGAACCTACCACAGGTATATATATATATATATATATATATATATATATATATATATATGTATCTATTATTTGAATCAATTTGACACCAAGAATATAGAAAAAAAACACATTTTTTTTTTATTAAACCATTATACTTTTTTGACTGTTTATAAACCAAAAAAGGTTAAAAAGAACAGAAAACCACAACCTACTTTCACCATTTTATCAATTTGGCTGAAAGTATTTTTGTATTTTGCCTTGATACCAGAACCATGTGAATGCGAAAAATGGTTTTTTTGACTGTAAAAAAAAAGTACAGTAAACAGTAAAGTGGCTAAATGGATAAACATGTTGAAAATACAAGTTTGTTTGTTTTGTATTTTGCTCTTATATTTATGTTAAATTGCTAAAATTAAATCCTGTGACTTGTTTTTGCACAATAGATTGTGAGACTCCAAGGGCTTCTTCACAGGGGGATTGGTGTACATCATGCTGGTCTGCTCCCGATAGTCAAGGAAGTAGTTGAAATGCTTTTCTGCCGTGGTGTAATTAAGGCAAGTTATGCATACCGGAATCGGAATTCCATTCCAATCCCGGGTTTGGTTGCAAAGGAGTACACGGAATTGAATTCAGTTGGAACTAAAAAAAATCTTTTCAACATACAAACTCCAATCATCCCCTTAGATTCCACTTCCTTCGACACATTCCAGTTCCTTCAAAAAAGTTCTACAAACCAAATGCCCTTCACATTTACTTCTCTCTTTCTCAAAAAAAAAAAAAGTTTATTTCTCTGACCCCCCTTATGTACATTTAAAGTTCCTTTACTTATTGTCTATTCTATTGATAATATTTTATTTCCGTTATGTAGGTTTTGTTTTCAACGGAAACATTCGCAATGGGGGTTAATGCCCCTGCTAGAACAGTGAGTCATCATAATAATTATTTTAACATTCTAGTTTGAAAATTGTGCTCAATTATAGCAATGTGATTGAAATAGAAAGTAGAAAGTTGTAATAGGAAGGAATGAATGGAAGTACATCTATTTTAATTAAAACTAGTGGTTGTGGCAGGTTGTTTTTGACACAGTAAGGAAGTTTGATGGGAAGGAGTTTAGACAGTTACTGCCGGGAGAATACACGCAAATGGCGGGGCGGGCGGGCAGGCGAGGACTGGATAGTATCGGGACGGTTCTGGTGATGTGTCGTGATGAAGTCCCGGACGAGAGTGATTTAAAGCGTGTAATTACGGGCAGTGCAACCAGGCTGGAATCCCAATTCCGCTTGACATATATCATGATAATGCATCTCCTCCGTGTTGAAGAATTGAAGGTATTACTATTTATTCATATCATTGTTATTTGTGTTTGCCATTCATCTGATACTGCTGACTAATTCTAAAGGTGGAGGACATGCTGAAAAGAAGTTTTGCAGAATTTCATGCTCAGAAAAAACTGCCCGAGCAACAGCAACTGCTCATGCGAAAGCTTGCTCAGCCTACAAAATCTATCGAGTAAACAAACCTTCTAAATTCTTCTTTATTTTCATCATCGTGACAATCAATATATTTTATCTGATGGAATGGAATTGGACCATTCTTTTATATTCCTTACTTTAGAAAAAAAAGGTTAGACTGTTGTTTTGATGATAGTGATGAATTATTTGTTATAAAAGGTGCATAAAGGGTGAGCCAGCGATTGAGGAATACTATAAGTGGTACTTTGAGGCTGAGATGTATAGCACTCACATAAACGAAAAAGTGTTGCAATCTCCCGTTTCTCTGTCTTTTCTTCAACCTGGAAGACTCGTGGTTGTCAAATCACAATCCGTGAGTTTATTCCCATAAATAATATTTTATTTTAATCAAAATAATAACAAGAAACCAAAGTACATTGCCATTTAATTTAATCCAACAGGTTGAGGACCACTTACTTGGAGTTATCTTAAAGGCACCTTCCTCCACCAACAAACAATACATTGTTCTGGTTCTCACACCCTCTTTACCAACAACATTACAAACCTCCACATCCATGGATGGCCCACAAAACAAGTCAGCTTCCACTGCTGCTGCTGGTGGTGGTCTTCAGATGCTAATGCCAAAATCCAAACGTGGGATGGTTGATGATTATTACACTTCTGCCACTGCCCGAAAAGGTTCGGGCATTGTCAAAATCAAACTGCCCCACCGTGGTAATGCTGCTGGGGCAGCTTATGAGGTGCGGGAAGTTGATACCAAAGAGTTTTTGTCGATTTGTAATGTGAAGATAAAGATCGATCAAGTTGGGCTTTTGGAAGATGATAGTAGTGCAGCTTATTCGAAAACTGTACAGAGTCTTTTACAACAAAAGTCTCAAGAAAATAAGTATCCTCCAGCTCTTGATCCCATTAAAGGTATTATCTTCTTCTTGTTTTAGGGCTAAATGCAAGAAATAGCAACCTACTTTTTTGGTATTTTGCCTAATAAAAAGATGTTAATCATAGACTCAAAACCGATTACTCCAAACATTCCCTTAACGTGTTTATTTGTTTTTATTTGTGTCAGATTTGAAGCTGAAAGAGGTGGAACTAGTGGAAGCTTACTACAAGTGGAATAACTTATTGCAAAAAATGTCACAAAACAAGTGCCACAATTGTGTTAAATTAGGGGAGCACATCAAAGCAGCTCAAGAGTTAAAGAAGTACAAAGAGGAAGTCGATGCATTAAAATTTCAAATGTCAGATGAAGCACTTAAACAAATGCCCCATTTTCAGGGTCGCGTACGTACAAATATTAAATATATATTTTTTCTACAATGAACAAATAAATGAAAGTAGGTGGTTATTTGTTGCAATTGTTTTTTGCA